GTCACTGTTCATTTAGGTTGCTTACAACATACTTCTATTTCTTATTTCAAAATCCATTGCATTAAAATTGTGATGTTTGAAATGGGCCTTACAGAAAAAAGTAGAAGTATGTTGGAAACTACCTGTAGTACTTAGAAGCTGGTAGGACATTAAAAATATATTATGGAGCAATCTTTTTCATTTACATCTTTAAAAAAGCATCTGAACATCATTAATGCAGAGGACTCAAAAAAATTAAATACCAGATGGATGGAAGTGCTAGAAATAAGAAATTGGGAAGATATAGTTAAACGATTGCAAGACAGAAGAATGAAGGAGGCAGTGTGATATAAGTGTGAAAAAAATTAATACGTTTAGCTGAACCGGAAAGTGATGTTAATACTGCACATGCACTGGGTTTGATTTTAACAAATTAAAACGAAAAGGTAGAGTCTGAATTATCATTTGATCTGTCAAAAATGTTCAAATTCAGTTGGAACACTGACTTATGTTTGTTAAGCCAAAGCTGTCCTAAACAAGACAAAAAACATTCCTTTATGGAAAAATTTAAAAGTTGGCTACCTGAAAGTAAGCATTTAATATAAATAAAACATTACAAATTAATAATTGAATACATTTCATTGCTAGAGCTAAAGACACTATTTCATAATAATTTCAATATATTTATATATATATTTAGTTAGCTGAAGAGGGGCTGATGCCCGAAACGTTGATGTATGAAAAAACGTTCTAACTAAATAAAAGATTCAACTAGCCCAGTGTTGAGAAAAACGTCACTTCATTGTGCCAGTACACAACAAGCAAATACAACACGGTTTCGACAACATCTATATATTGCTGTAATATTCAAGCTTTAAACAAATCAATGAAGCATGAATTGATATAACCATACACACAAAATGAAAGCTTGAAAAATAAGCATTTAAAAAATTAAACCTAAAAATTTACTTTAAATTTGTTTATTTGCTTTAAAACTTTTAAGTTATTCCTTTTAAGAAACAGTATCTAAAAACAATTAAAAAAAAAAGTTGTTATAGACACACACACACACTAACTCATAAGAGATCACATCAGTTTTAAAAAAAATTACTAGATAATGTGATTGAAATCATTGCAACTTGTTAATATGAATGAAAATTTTTTTTATATTATAGAATTAGTCTGAAGATGACTGTTTAAAATGGTAGAAAACATTTATTTTGCTGTTAAAGTATCATTTATTTGCTGGATTTTGGTGTTTTGTTATGTATTTTCAAAAAATTTTTAATTTAATTTTCATTGAAGTTAATATAATTCTTGCTTATTACTAGGAAAATTAAATTTAATAGAATCACAACAACATCTCACACAATAATAATGTTTTAGTTGTTTGGGATATAAAATTTAATGTATTTTTCTGTGTCCAGAGTTCTTAGAGAAAACAGAATTCTTGTTAAAGAAACTTTACAACACAAAACATGACATCTCAATTGAAATAATACAAACATTAAATAAAATCAGGACTTTTAAAAAAGCTGTTTTGATTAATTTATTTAAGTCTCCTAAATCTAAAGGATATAAGCAAAAAGATGCCAAATTTTCCAGGACTATTTTAAGACATATTACCCAAATACAGTCGACCCCCCTATAATTACGATTCCTATAAAACTGCGAAAAAATTGTGACGGTATCCGTAAAAAAACTCCTATAATTACGTAAAACGTCATCGGGCAGCCGAACTACTTTCCCGCCGTCCGTAGCGCCAGGCTACGGAGAGATTTCTATCGTCTGGACAGTATTATATAAATTATATATAAATTAGGTACTGTACATATAATTATATATTAATTATATATAAATTAGGTACTGTATATATAATTATATATTAACTTATTGTAACTTTGTTATAATTAAATATATAATTTCCGCCGTCTAGCGTGGCGCCACGCTACGGAGATTTTTACGCTAACTATCGTCTGTCAGTATGTAAATTAGGTACCGTAAGTCTAATACAGTACTGTAATTTTATACATTTCTTGTGAAAGAAACATTTCTTATTCAACGGCGATTAAAATTATTTATATTAATGATGTCTCCGAAGTTCTACGAAGTTTTCACAGAAAAATAAGTTGTTAGAAATCGGCCGCTATTTGCTGAGCTGTTCCGCGACGAAAACAAGCTTTAGCAATGGGGTTGTCGAATGGTGCACACTCGGTAAGTAATCCTACAATTTTCTGTTTATAGTGTAGTTTATACGGATTATTTCCAAAAAATATATACGTATTTTGGAAATGTTGAGTCGAATTAGTCTAGAATTGATTAATTTTATGGAAGAAAACCTTTCAATCAGCCGTAGTTCGTAAACTTGACATGTGTCGGGCTGTGATTGGAAGGACTCGTAAGAAATTGGATTCCTAAAGAATGGAACGTATCTATGATCTTATAGGGGGGGTCGACTGGTATTACCTCATGTGTTTCTGGCTCCATAGTATTAGCCATATTAAATGCTTACTTTCAGGTAGTCAACTGTTTAAATTTTTCCATAAAAGAACATTTTTGTCCTATTTTAGAACAGCTTCAGCTTAAAGAACATTAGTCACTGTTCATTTAGGTTGCTTACAACATACTTCTATTTCTTATTTCAAAATCCATTGCATTAAAATTGTGATGTTTGAAATGGGCCTTACAGAAAAAAGTAGAAGTATGTTGGAAACTACCTGTAGTACTTAGAAGCTGGTAGGACATTAAAAATATATTATGGAGCAATCTTTTTCATTTACATCTTTAAAAAAGCATCTGAACATCATTAATGCAGAGGACTCAAAAAAATTAAATACCAGATGGATGGAAGTGCTAGAAATAAGAAATTGGGAAGATATAGTTAAACGATTGCAAGACAGAAGAATGAAGGAGGCAGTGTGATATAAGTGTGAAAAAAATTAATACGTTTAGCTGAACCGGAAAGTGATGTTAATACTGCACATGCACTGGGTTTGATTTTAACAAATTAAAACGAAAAGGTAGAGTCTGAATTATCATTTGATCTGTCAAAAATGTTCAAATTCAGTTGGAACACTGACTTATGTTTGTTAAGCCAAAGCTGTCCTAAACAAGACAAAAAACATTCCTTTATGGAAAAATTTAAAAGTTGGCTACCTGAAAGTAAGCATTTAATATAAATAAAACATTACAAATTAATAATTGAATACATTTCATTGCTAGAGCTAAAGACACTATTTCATAATAATTTCAATAAATATAATTATTATTATATAATTTATTAATGAATTTTTATTACTATAATTATATTTGTACCTATAATTAATAATTAATGTAAAGTATTAATTAAGAACCACCATATTATAAAATTGTATTCTATTTGAAATAATGAATTATTATTAAAAATATACTCAGAAAATCCAAAAGTCAAAAATAATATGATTAAATAATTCATGAAATAGAAGCAAATTTTTAATACACAGTGATATCCTGGTTTTCATCAATAATCTGCCCAAAAACAATTGACAAAATTTGAAACCAACGAAAACCATTTCCACATGAATTGATGTAAATCAATTAGCTCATTCAAGACACTCCAAAATACGTACTAAAAACACATTTTATAGAGAATAAATATAGTGTTTAATACTAAAAACAATAAAAAATCAATATAAAATGAATAAAAAAAAACTAATGTAAAGAATAAATGAACATTTAACATGGCATTTTAAGGGCTGCCGGTTCTGGAAACTTTCTTTGGTCCCATGATAGAGCTAAAAAGCAATGAAATAGTTTGGCTATACATGTGGAGTAATGCTCACACAACGAGAAACAATGCCACACTGAGCATGAAAATGCATGGGTTGCTCTTAATTTTCGCAAAATTAGCAGTGAGGTCACATGGGCACACCAATGAAATCCGAGACAAATTTTTCACCAAAAAAACCAACGATAACTGACGTCAACGAAAACCAACATATTACTATAATAAATTAATATTTTTAAGAAGTTTACCCCAGTTTTAGTTCACTACAAATTGAAAATTCAATGCATTCAATTCATGCTGTTTGTTCTATTCTCAAATTCTGAGAAAAATGTTTTGATGTTGAAGTAATTTTGTAGTAATTTCAAACTAAGATAATTTTCTAAAATATTGAATGTTTTAAGACTTTTGCAATGTTGTTCCTATCTTCTCTTAACCAAATTAGCTCAAGTTTGTTCTATTAGATTAAATGATAAAATTTTAAAGATTATTTTTGAAACTGTGCAGTATTATTGTGTTGTTGGCCAGATGGTCTAGTGGTTAAGGTTCAGCCTATCACTCTGAGGATCTAGGAACAAATCTGGTCAGATTGAAAATCTCCTAGAATTTTATTGGGATAGTCCATTCTGAAAATGTTGGGCCCAGCTGTCCTGTTGGGGCCTGGCCAAATCTACGACAGGGTTTGATAAAAAGACTCCTCGTGTTCACAGGGAAGAAAAAGAAAAAAAATCTGTATTGTTTTACAGATTGTAAAATAATTAAGATTTTTAAATAGTTCAATAGAAAATTAGTTTTTAGTCTAAGGAATGATTTTATCTCAACTGCTAAAGAAGGCTATCATAAATTTTATTATATCCGTAGTGAATAAAAGAAAAATTATTCACACTGTTAATATAAAGTATTAATTTACAATTGTGCCAGTTACAAAGTCAATAAATTTATACATGAAAAATTAAATTTTAAGAATTAAAATTTTTAAACATTTAAAATAGAGTTGATATATCTCAAATTATGTAGTTACATATCAATTTAATATTAATGAATAAATTTTTGACTAAAATAATAAATTATAAAAACTCATTGTTCTGATAATTAAAACTAAGATACTTCATACAGTCCAAAGAACGACTATGCAAACTATTGTCGTCATTTGCTACAAAATTATTGCAAATCAAAAATCATTTATTAATGATTTGAAGTGTAAAAAAATAAAATTGCCATCAAAATGTATTAACTTTAAAAAAGTCAAAATTCTCACCATTTGCTCTTCCATGTTTACTTAACAAAGATCCAAGAAGAAGAATACTCTGTTCCTTAATATGAATAACTTCTTCATTGCTAGCATCATTCATTTCAACTGAAATGCAAATTTATATAGTTTAGCAGTTTCTGTTGTTTGTTTATTAAGGTAAACGCACCGGTAGTGGACACTGCGTTAGTAGTGGACACTTTGAACTTCAAATATGAGTAATAAGGTTGTTGATGGCTTCACTGTTCAAACATACAAATCATTCAGTAGACAGAACCCTCTAGTGGTGGTAACTCGCACTGATCCTTTTCTAGTGCATCATGGGATGTTTTCCCGCACTCATTAGTGATGGCATTCCTGCTGATATAAGAAGACAAGTGAGTCTGCTGTCTGTTTCCTTAAGGTCTAGGTAATTTAAATCACGCTTGCTGTATTAACAGTTAGTTTCACGGAAGTTTTTTGGTGATATACTATTAATATGAGCTTCGTTGGTATGTTTTAAGACCTTCCTGATAGTATTTTTATTTTCCAAGTCAATTGAATGAGATGTCCACTAATGAAACAAAAATATCGTATATTTTTAGTAGTGGACAAGAGGTGGCCACAACTAGTGAAAATGAACTTTTCACTTTTAATCAGTATCAAGTCAAAAATTAAATCACCTAATGTTAAGTAACATACAGTATTGATTCAAGCATTTTTTGGTTACTCTGTCTAGTCATGGACAGGGGGTGTTCACTATTAAACCGTGAATGTCCGTTTATTGAAATGAGGTGTTTCAATAGTGGACAAAACATGGTTTGGTGCCATGGGATCCTACAGCACCCGGTATGCTAAGTAGGAAAATAATGTGCAAGAAGAAGTCAGACAGTACTCTCACGAAAAGTGATGTAAGAGTTGGTTTTGAAACATTAAAAATATACATGGGACCTGAGAAAGTGGGGTTATTTGAGACTGTAGTTTCTTTTGAAGATGTTGAGGCTACAGACAAGTCCCTGTTCAATTTATGGCACCAGATGAAGACAGACATCATGAATCAAGTAACAGCTGGAAACAACAGCAAATCCTTCAACAATAATGAATCAGAACATGAAGATTCGACGGTTGAAACTTCAAATCAATCGCAGCCATGAGATAAATGATGTCAGTAACACCAGTGCATTTAGTGATTCATATATTCATGATATTCATAATGACTACCACTATCAAAATGAAAGACCTAGTACTTCAAACACTGGCAATACCATTGTTGCCACAAGTACACACAATAGCCGCAATAACAGTCAGATCTCTGAAACAGTACCTAGTCCTTTCAAAAGGTCACTTCTCTGGTCAGAACCCAGGGAAATCACTAACAAAAGGAAGAAAAAGGAAATCATACCTTCTGTAGTTACGTCAAAAGCTTGGCAGGAATATTATGAAAATAAGGAAAAGAAGAAAATAGTGGAACTAGAACTGAAAAGGGAGAGAGCTTTGGCAAGACAGAGAAAGAAAGAACAACAGACTGCTGAGAATAAAAGGAAAGCTGAAGAGAAAGCTATGAAAATGAAAATGAAGACTACAAAGCAACGAAAGAAGAAAATGAGAAAGGAAGAGACATCATCAGAAGATGAAGGTTCTTGGATTCCCTCGGATGGTGGTAGTACAAACGATGTTACGTTAGATGTAGAAGACACTATGGAAGATGAAGAAGAAGAAGACGACATTATGCAGTTTCAGGAAAATATTGAACCCCCTTCAAACGAAACTATTGGACCAAGTTCAGCAATTAAGGAATCGAAAGATACAGAAGAAAGGGGAGAAAGTATTGAAGGGACTTTAAATTGGACTCGGAGGAAGGATATGTCCGAAAGACACAGTCGGAATACCATTGAAAAGGAAAGGGAATCAAACATCCTGCATGAGAATGATTTTGTAGTTGCCACCTTGTCTGGTAAGAAAAGAAAGTACAAATGTGTGTGCAAAATTACCAGTTTAATCAGTGATAATATCGCAGAAGTGATTGTGTTTAATTCCATAAATAGGATGAAAAGCGTATTTGCTAAAAATGAAAAAGATGTACAAACGATAAATATTTCTCAAATTGACTTGAGGCTTCCTAAGCCTCTAATTTTTGGAAGAGAGAGTCACTGTCAATTCTCGAAAGGCATTGACATAGATAAGTAGTTCAACACAAATTAACAATGCAACAATATTTCCTTAAACTATGCTGACGTTAATATTTGAGTTCTCCTAAATGTAACTTAGAACCCAGTTTTATACTATTATTTTTAAGTGTTTAATATTGAGTGTAACAATAATCCATTCCAGTATGTTAAAACTGATCTCATTTATTTCAACATTTGTATTCGTTAAGAATAATGTAACAATAACAAAATAAGAAAGTTTCTTATACTAACTTTGTAATGTTTTATATTTATGTTTCATAATACTTATTAGTTCAATTTTCATATAAACATTACAAACTATACACATGTAATTTACATTTGTACAATTTGATATTTTAATTAATTTAATTAAATTATGAGTTGTCATTATAATTAACACAGTGTTCTTGTTCTTTATAGTAAAGACTGTCAAATTCTGCAAGTTGTGAAAAATAAAAACGATTTCATCTTGAATATAATCATTTCTATATTCCTTGTCCACTACTGGTGCAAATGCCTGTCCATTACTAAATATCTCAATTTTTTTAATGTCCACTACTGAAACATTTTCAACCTTACAAAATAAATTAAATTAAAATGTATTCGACGAGACTGACATAATTAAAATCCTTACAGTGAGTGAAGAAAAATTTTGTCTAACAGACAATATAACTTTTAAGCCATAAGGCTTCCAAATAGGGGTCCAGTTTCAAAAAAGTCGAAAAATTTTCCTTAAAGTGTCCACTACCGGTGCGTTTACCTTATGAGTTTATTATACCTATGATTTTTATAAAATACAATATATAAACATAAAAACACGTTTTTTTATAAGCAAATTATTTTATAGTTTAATAAACAAGAAAGATTAATGCAAACAAATAGTTCATATTTACAAATTAGGTTTTTACAAAGTTTATGATAATTCTATAAATGGCAGAAATAAGTGAAAAAGTTTAAATTTTTCTATATCGATATATACCTTAAAATAATTTTTTTAATGCATCCTTGTTTGTTCACTTATATTTAAAGTCAACTAAATTCCTGTCACCCTAAATTTTCATTTCTGTCAAAATATGTAATACATTATGTCTAATAAAATAATTAGATATCTAATAATGTAGAGAGAAAAATGTTTAAACTGTGAAAGAACAATATATTCAATTCTAAAAATGAATTTTGTTTAAAATATTCTCAGGAATTGATAATATATATAATGTGTATACCTCAAATATTTCAAGCATGACATCTGGATTGCTTGTTTTCATACATACAATCAAAAATTTCATGGATGAAATTTGCTACCACTAAGAGTCATGCAATAAGATCTTCCTTGGATTCCATAGTTGTCTCATACACTAACCTTTTTAAATGACCTCATAGAAAACAATACAGTGGAGTCAAATCAGGTGATTGTGATGGCCATGCCACTGGTCCATATCTATCAATTTATCTTTTACCACATTTTATGTTTAGATGGTTTCAGACATAATAAGAGAAATGACTGCACCATCATGCTTGAACCACATTTTCTGACAAATTCCACATGGAATATCATCTAACAACTTGGGTAAAAAAAATGCCATCAAGAAATTAAATAAAACCATAAATTGTTATCAGACTTTTCATTGTTCTTTTCCAACATTTATTTTGAAAATGATTCAATTATAGAAATGTGTCCATAGAACAAAAGTTGATGTACTGTACTCTGTTCACTCTATACACCCCCCCAAGTTTGTATAGAAATGATGCAAACACTATATATATGATCTTAAGAATAACAGAAATGCTCAACAGTTCAACAATTTTAAATACATTGAAATTAAAAAATTAAAAAAGTTTAATTGTTAACATATATACAGTAGAGCGTCGATTTTCCGAAAGTCAATCATCCGAAAGAATTCCAGTCGGCAAATTTAAATTTTCGCCATGCTGTGGCACTTCAATCTTTGGCTACGTCTTGGGCTACTCAAATATTTTACGTTTTTGATACTAAATTAACATCTAAAGTATAATTTTTTATTATTTGGAGATTATATATATATACAGCAGAGCGTTGATTTTCCGAAAGTAAATCATCCGAAAGAATTCCAGTCGGCAAATTTAAATTTTCGCCAGTGCTGTGGCGCTTCAATCTTTGGCTATGTCTTGGGCTACTCAAATATTTTACGTTTTTGATACTAAATTAACATCTAAAGTATAATTTTTTATTATTTTTATATTTTTCAATATATTTATTTTGTTTGTACAAAATAAAAAAATAATTTTTAACGATACAATAGTCTTTGTTAGGCTTAACATCAACGAAAATTCAACGCAAAGCAACACGCAACAGAGAAAAATTTTGACATCAGATACGTTAAACTATTTATTCGTACGTAAATCAGTTATCCGGACAACCCCAGTCTTCAATTGATTCGGAAAATCGACGTCTACTGTATATATATAATACTAAAAAAATTTAAATGAACTAATGTAAAAAATGCAAAATAAATTTGTATTAAAAAAATGTAACTACCTATAAAAAATAAATTAAGAACAATAACTCATATTTCTTAGTACATATACTTCCTATATGCAATTTCCATAGATCAAGCATTACAGTGTAATTGTAGTCATGATTTATGGAGTAATATGTGATTTTAAAATGTGATCTTATATAACAAATTTCAATCATATTTTATCATATGCATAAAAATAACAAATAACACAATATACATTCACAAAGAATATAAAATAATGCTTATAAAATATCTTCTAATTCAAGAAACTTCTTATTAAATATCAAAAATCTTGGTAAGTGATGTTTACAGGCTATTGCATGTATTCACTCATACTCCTAGATGACACTGCTGATTTATTATAGAAGTCTTTTTATTTATATGCATTAAACTTTTTTGAGGTTAATTTGGCTCATCTTTAGACAAATACAGGGTGTTTGTATTTTTAAAGTTAACTTTTCAT